CCCAGGCCCTCGGAGCGACCCCACGGGCTCCGGAGCGGCACCCAAGCGGCCCCGAGCAGCCTCCGCGAGGAGCCCCGAACGAGCTCCCGCGGGGTCTGGAAGACCCCCGCAGGGAAGCGTGACAGGGCCATCCTGCAGGCATCCTGTGGAGGCTGCGCCGGCAGGATGACCTGGGCGTGCCGCGAACACCTGGCCTTGCAGCGGCACGACAGCTTCCCTGAGCCAGCTGGGGGGCCGTGGAGATCTGAAGACCTCGCCGCTAAACAAAAAAAACTCAGAACACACATCTCGAACAACCACGCTGTAAAGTCAAAGCTGAGATCTGTCAAGGCAGCGGTCTCAGAGGGCAGCACCCGGCGCTGGCCGAGGCAAAGGGCCCGAGATGGTACCCCATGCTAACGGAGGGCGGCAAGCGAAATGAACTGATGGCTCGAAGGATTGCAAAAAACCATCACTTGAACGAAGGATTGCACGAAGGATTGCAATCAAGGGTTTTTTTGCAATCCTTGGTTTTTTTGCAATCCTTCGACGAAGGGTTTTTTTGCAATCCTTCGACACAAATGTCGGCCATCACTCATCAGCTCCGTCCGAACATGATGCAAGGCAGGGCAGGTGCAAGGATTGCGAAAGACGGTGTCGGGCGGCGAATCGTAGAGGGTGTGGGTTTGAGGAGAGAGAGGGCGGGTATGCAGAGGACGCCCTGGCCTTGTGCGTGTTGCTCTTGCCCGAGGGGTCCCTGTGGCTGCTCGGCGAGGCCACTAAGTACGGCCTCTCGTCTATGGCCACCGCCTCACGCCCATGACCAACGAAAACGACGCCACGGGAATGGGAACCGGACTGGAAAGGAGAGAGGGCGAGAAAGAGAGAGAGAGAGAACGAGAGAGAGGGAGCACAAAAACAGCAGCAACAACAACAACCACAACAGCACAACAACCATGACGACGACAACAACAACAGCAGCAGCAACAACAACAATAATAATAACAATAACAACAACAATAACAACAACAATCACAACAACAACAACCATGACGACGACAACAACAACCACAACAACAACGACGACGACGACGACTGCAGCAACAACAACAAACAATCAGTTTACCCTCATGCGCGATGTTTCCACATGAAGCCTGCGACCATCATGATAAACATCCACGTGATGGGGGACTCTTGTTCTATAGCGGGGTCCATTATTCCCATTCCCGGATCTCCCGTCCAATGAGGTCTTGCAAACACCTCCTCCAAGGAATTTCAACATATCCCGCCTCGAAAACACATGCCCGCGCCTTGCTGCGCCGATGCGAGACCGCCAGTGGAACCCCAGCGAAGGGTAAAGCACAAGGAAGTATCGAACGACAGGATTGCCTTGGTGGGGATGGGGGCTGTCGGCAGTGAGGCAAGGACCTGGCCCTGAATAGAAAGGGAGGAAGTCTCGAGCAGGGCTGCTGTTGTTGTTGGGAGCGGCGCCAATGCTGAAGAGAGTAGGGCGCTAGTCCAGCGCAAAGCAAAACGAAGTCTCGAGCGGGAACGCTGGTTTTGTTGGGACGGCGGCGTTCAGAGGCGAGGAGGAACACCGCCTTGAGTAAGAAAGGGGTAAGCATCGAGCGGGAGCCGTGGTTTTGTCAGGACGGGGGTTGCCGTCGGCGAGGAACAACACCGTCTTCAGGAAAAAGGGAGGAAGCCTCGAGCGGGAGCGTTGTTCTTGCTGGGAGCGGCGCCAATTCAAAAGAGAATAGGGCGCCAGTCCAGCGTAAAACGGAAGGAAGTCTCGGGCGGGAGCGCTGGTTTTGTCGGGGCGGCGGTTTTCGGCGGCGAGGAGGAACACCGCCTTGAGTTATAAGGGAGGAACATCGAGCGGGAGCCGTGGTTTTGTCGGGACGGGGGTTGTCGGCGGCGAGAAACAACACCGTCTTCAGGAAAAAGGGAGGAAGCCTCGAGCGAGAGCGTTGTTCTTGCTGGGAACGGTGCCAATTCAAAAGAGAGTTGGGCGCCAGTCCAGCGTAAAACGGAAGGACGTCTCGGGCGGGAGCGCTGGTTTTGTCGGGGCGGCGGCTTTCGGCGGCGAGGAGGAGCACCGCCTTGAGTTTAAAAGGGGGGAAGCCTCGAGCGGGAGCATTGTTTTTGCTGGGGGCGGCGCCGATGAGAGGAAGACTAGCGCGCCAGTCCAAGGTAAAACGGAAGGAGTTCTCGAGCGGAAGCGCTGGTTTTCTTAGGACGGCGGCTTTCGGCGGCGAGCAAGAACACCAGCCCTGAGTGAAAAAGGAGGAAGTCTCGAGCGGGAGCGTTGCTGTTGTTGGGGGGCCAGTCTTGGCGGTCCCCCAAACAGCTCGAGCGTGAGCCTCATTTGCAATGAAAATGTAGCCGGCGCCTCGGCGAGAGCGCCAAAGCGCCTTCAAGATGTCCAACAACAATAACTGTCTAGTAATTAACATTCAACAATAAGAACAACAACAACAACCACAACAACAACAACAAAAACAACAACAACAACAACAACAACAACAACAGCAACAACAAGAACAAGAACAATAGCAAGAACAATAACAACAACAACAACAACAACAACAACAACAACAACAACAACAACAACAATCATTTTACCCGAACGCTCAGTGGTCTCCCCAGTGCCAGGGTTTTCATGCGACGCCAGCCAATACCCCCACTTCGTGGGGGGGCAATGCAAGCTCTACCAAACATCCACACGACTCTCGGGAACCACCCACACCCAGCTTCCCGCCCTATGACGTCAGGACACTTCACTTCGTGGCGCGCGGACGATCGTGGATACTACACTGGCGTGGAGTACACACCCGCAGAGGTTAATCACTTGTTTGGGCCCCGCATGTGCCCCGCATCGTGCATTTGTTGCGCATGATATGAGAGCAAGACAGAGAGAGAGAGAGAGCAAGACAGAGAGACAGAGAGAGAGAGAGAGAGAGAGCAAGACAGAGAGCCAGAGGAGAGCTACGGTGCGATTCGTGTGATTTTATGATGCGCGGTGCTAACATTCTTAAAAACCCAATGGTTTTTGGAGATTTCGGCGTGCGCGCGCGAAGAAAAAACGAATGTGTCCCGCATGGTATTATTTGACAGGGATGATGGCCCTGGCAGGTGCGCAAACGTTGTCGCAGAAGTTCGAAAAAGTTGCTCGCAAAAGCCCGTTTGACAGAATTGTTTAAAAAGTGTTGGTTTTCCTACGAATCCGCAAGAGCGCGCGGAAGAACATTTTGACAATTTTTTCTTAAAAAACCATTGGGTTTTTGATGTTTTTATGTTAAAATCGCTACGAAACCTAAGGTTTTGGAAGGATTTCGTCTTGCGCGCACGAATGTCCACTTTACCTTATTTTTTGCAAGGGATTCTTGCAATTTGATCAAGTAAGAACAAGAATTTTCATTTTATAGTGTTTTTTGCAAGGGAAAACGGAGTACAACAAAACAACCGGATCCGGTAATAATTCACTTTTCTGAAGCTTTCGCTAAAAAATGATGAAAATGTAGCTGCGGCCTAGGTTTTGGAGGGGGGTCGCGCACCAGGGGTCCCAACAATAATTATTCTTTAGAAGTAATAATGTTCAACAACAACAACAACAAGAACAACAACAACAACAACAACGACAACTACAATAACAACAACAACAGCATCAACGACAACAACAACGACAACAACAACTACAACAACAACCACAACCACAACCACAACAACAACAATAACAACAACGACAACATTAATTTTACTCTCATGCGCGATGCTTCCACACGAATCATGCGACCATCATGATAACCATCCCCATCATGGGGGATTATTGTTCTATAGCGGGGTCCGTTATTCCCATTCCCAAATATCCCGCCTCTTGCGACCACCTCCCCCGAAGAATTTCAACGTATCCCGCCTCGAAAACGCATGCCTGTGCCTCGGGACGGGGGCTGTCGGCGACGAGGAAGAGCACCGTCCTAAGGGAAAAAAAAGGAAGCCTCGAGCGGGAGCGTTGTTCTTGCTGGGGGCGGCGCCGATTCAAAAGAGAGTAGGGCGCCAGTCCAGCGTATAAAGGGAGGAAGTCTCGGGCGGGAGCGCTGGTTTTGTCGGGACGGCAGTTTCCGGCGGCGAGGAAGTCTCGAGCGGGAGCGTTGTTGATGCTGGGGGCGGCGCCGATGAGAGAAAGAGTAGCGCGCCACTTCAAGGTAAAAAGTGAGGAATGCTCGAGCGGTAGCGCTGGATTTGTTGGGACGGCAGCTTTCGGCGGCGAGCAAGAGCACCGTCCTGAGGGGAGAAAAAAAAGGAAGCCTCGAGCGGGAACGCTGCTCTTGCTGGGAGCGGCGACAACTCAAAAGAGAGTAGGGCGCCAGTCCAGCGTATAACGGGAGGAAGTCTCGGGCGGGAGAGCTGGTTTTGTCGGGGCGGGGGCTTCCGGCGGCGAGGAGGAGCACCGCCTTGAGTAAAAAAGGGACGAAGTCTCGAGCGGGAGCGTTGTTGTTGCTGGGGGCGGTGCCGATGTGAGAAAGAGTAGCGCGCCAGTCCAAGGTAAAACGGGAGGAAGTTTCGAGCGGTAGCGCTGGTTTTGTTGGGACGGCGGCCTTCGGCGGCGAGCAAAAGCACTGGCCCTGAGTGAAAAAGGAGGAAGTCTCGAGCGGGAGCGTTGATGTTGTTGGGGGCCTGTTTTGGTGCCCCCCAAACCGCTCGAGCGTGAGCTTCATGTTCAATAAAGATGTAGCCAGCGCCGAGGCCAGAGCGCCAAAGCGCCTGGGGAGGGGTCCAACAATAACAATTGTTTGGTAATTAACGTTCAACAACAACGACAACGACAACGACAACAACAACGACAACAACAACAATAATAATAATTTTAAGGCTGTTCGCCCTTATCTGCTCGACTGTCCAATAACGCGTATTTCCCAAACCCTCCATACCCGCCCTCTGCGTCTTCGATCGAACCCCTTTGGGGGGGTATACCTTTCTTCCCTGCAGGCCGGGCCCCGGCAAGCGGCGGGGCGGCCGCGGACCGTTGGCCTGGCCAGCGGCAGCGCTGATCGGCGGGGCGGCCGCGGACCGTCGACCCGACCCCAAGGGGGACGGACAGGGGACCGACCACGACGACGACGACGACGACAACGACGACGACGACGACAACGACGTCGACGACTACGGCGACGACGACGACGACGACGACGACGGCGACGACGAGCGAAAGCGAGAGCGGGAGAGAACGACAGCAGGGCCACGCAGGACACGAAGTAGGCCACGAAGGGCGACAGCGGGGACACGAAGGGAATGCGTATGGGGCCACGAAGAGCGCGAACGAGCGGGGGCCACGAAGGGCAGATAATGCGGGGGCACAGAAGACAACGATGGGGCCACTGAGGGTAGCAACTGGGCCACGTAGGACAGCGAGGGGGCCACAAACGGCGACAGCGGCGACACGAAGGGCATGCACATGGGGCCACAACGGGCGCGACTCCTGGGTGTCTGGGTGTCGGGAGCGCGGCGCTTGAGCAAATTGCTAGAAATTCCAACGCAAGGACGCTATTCTTCAGTAAATTGCAAGGAAGTCTCCAGCGAGAGCGCGACTCCAGAGCGCCGGGAGAGCGATTCCTGAATTAATTGTAAGGAAGTCCAAAACGGGAGCGCGATTCTTGAATAAAATGCGAAGAAGTCTCCGGCGGGAGCGGGGGTCCTGGCTAAATTGTAAGGAAGTCTCAGGCGGGAGCCGTTGTTGTTGTAACCCGGGGGCCAGGGGCACAGTTTGAGCATCAAGACTTTTCCTGTCAAAAAACCAGGTGCGAGCGTCG